GCGATATTGGTATTTTCGTGTTCCTTCTTTCGCAGGCAGTTCCATAAAAATGTTATCCTCCACCTACTCAACATCCCCGTCCGAGCATTCCCTGAAAAAGGCCCCCCCCTGGGGGAAATTGAACCGCCCCCGGGAACTCGTCTCAACGTTGCCATCTTTGGGTGAGAAATGAACCCCGCCTCGAGAACGACCGCAACAATTTTTTCAAAATGTTCTTCGCTCTCCCGATAACATCGATTATTTATTTTTAAACGCGTCTGTCTCAAAAATTACCAAAAAAGAAACGTTGGAAAAATTTTTTCCCACTCCTCGTGACATCGCCAATCGTTATTTATTTTTAATTCGCCGCGAGAACGGTCTCGAAAATTCGCGGATAATTTTGTTTACGTTCATAATGAAATCGCCAATTAATCCGCGGACCCTCTGGCAGATCCTTGACTCTCTGACTGACGTTTATATAATTTATGAGTCGAGTCATCGAACTTCCGGCGCCGGGGAATCGATACAGCGGGGAAGCGGCACGGTCCCCCGCGTTATGGAACGGCACATTTAAATGAAGCATCACGCGTAATCATTGCCAAACTTGGAGTAAATACTGGGCTTATAAATATTCATAGGCCCGTAACGAATTCCAACGGGTTTGCCGTAGCGCGTTCTGCTCGGCAGCGTCGGCGCTGTTGCGGGTTGGATATTGAAAAAGGGAAAAAAGGGGTAAGTATCCGTTTTGGACGAGAGAGGACAATCGGATACCTGGATTTCGCGGGCTCGCGATCGAAACGGGACACACCGGAAGCGTAGCACGAATATTCATGAGGAGGACCTAATAACTCGAAGGCGACTCACCCGAACGTCCGGATAAAAAATCCCAACAAAATTTCAAGTCAAATATTTTTTTCACAAAGAAACACAACCAAGGAAAATACACCCAATCCCTGTTGCGATGTCTCGAGAATAAACGTTAATATAAAAAAAATCACGGCATTCAATCCTCGGTTATGAGAGGTCCTTGCATTTTTTGGGAATTTTTCGCACACCTTTCTTTCCCAATCAGCAAGTGCATTCCTCGGCTTAAGGACCACACGGTATCGAAAAGATATCGCCGGGCAATATTTAGTTAACACCCACTAACCGGTAGAAGTGGGCTGCCGTAGATGCACCTTAGCAGGGCACTATAGCACCAGACCGTAGGGTGCAATCTCCCGTTATGGCGCATTACGGCTTCCCGAGTACGATGATTGGCAGCGAATACCCGGCCGGGACTTCCTCTTGGTGAAGAGAAGCATATCGTAGTTATATTCCTTTTGGAGCAGCTATATTCCCTCCGGGACGAGCAATCGAGTCGCCGCCTAATGTCTCCGCGGTACGTAACCGCGGATCCCCTTCGACGTCGATAGACTCCGATCGGTATCGACCGGTACCTCGGATTTCCTCGTACTCCGTAAATCCGACGTACCCCCGATCGCCAATTAGCCTGATTTTCTGTGCAGCCGAAACCCAGATGGTCCAGCATCCAGTCGACCTCGCAAGACCGCCAATAATCCCAAAAATTTCCCCCCTTGAACCATCCATGAATTTCTGCATCTCTTTTTAAATCGGAAAAAAAAATGAATTCGACGACTTCGAAAGGTTCAAACTGGGATTTTCGGCCGCAAAACGGAAGCCTGGTTTATCGGTTGGGTTTACAAGGGAGGTTTCGGGACGAATTTAAGGGATCCAGGTGGGGAGCCGTGTTTGTCGGGGCGGGCGTTAAAACATCGGCTTTAAGCCCTCTCGGAGGCTCCACTCCAATTACGGCAACTTCGGGACGACTCCCTCGCCCCATACGTAAGGTCCTAACCAGGTTACAGCGACTCCTTTGTTTCCAGGATACTTTCTCCGAGCCGGCGTCCTCATCCGGCGTCGTGACGACGTCCTCTGTCCGCGGAATGCTAACGACACGCCGTAAGGGAGTCTGGGCTCCCGGAGGAGGACCTTTTGGTTCGGCCGGGGAAGTTTCCGGTTTACGTGCCAACTCGGGCAGCCTCTCGGCATTTAAGACGCCGCTAAGCAGAGTATCCCGGGGTTGCGTTTCATAAATTAAGAGCTACGCCCCTCGAGGGATCCCCCGCGAAGGCGCGAGCTGGAGAGCACTCCGGAGACGCGGGAGACGCGGGAGACGCGCGTCCGACCGGCGAGAGTTACGAGCGCGCCGGGAATACGATTGTTTCGCGATCGGATGAAACGACCTCGAAGGGTGCGATCGGATAAGGTCTGCGAGCGACCGGAAGGGTCGAAGGTAAAGTCCCGACGCGCCTTAAATCGGATTCACCCTGAGCGCGTCGGGTGTCACAAGGACCGCGTCGAGGACGGCCAATCAATCGGAACCGCTTTTAACCCTCCGGTCTCCCCCTGCGCAGAAACCTCCTTTCCGTCTGTAATCCAATTCTCCAGAAATATGCAATCACTTAAGAGCTCCTGCAGAATTGGCATCCTCTTCAAGGGTCTATCCGAGATGACACCTAATCACGGGTCGCAGGATGGAAGGAATGGGACACCTCGAAGAACCCCTCGGCGACTGTTCCAGGATTTAAAGGTCCCTCCAAACCCCAGGATTCTTAAGTGCATTTAGGGCGTACCGAGTGTTTGCTCGGTACATGTCAGTACCGGCGGGAGGACGTCCCGGTAATGGTGCGGAAGTTTAACGGGGGAGGAGAGGAGGGTCAATAAGTGATACCGAGGCAGAGAAGGAAAACGATTCATCCCCCGGCTTTCCAGGATTAACTTCGGTACCGAGTCCTGTCGACCTTCGATTTCGCTTATAAATTTCTGTTAAAAAAAAATTAAGGGCGACGGTCCAGAGGTCGTCCTCGCTGGCGATTGCAAACGCGTCCTGGGAGAAGAGAATTCCCTCGCATGTAACGATCAGTTTTTGGGGGTGGAGGGGCGTCGGACACGAGGAGAAAATTTGGCGATCCCGCCGCAATTCGTCGGTACGTACGAGTCGAGCTCGAAGGGGATGGGCGACCCATTTATTTTTATGGAACCGTTCGGGACGCACGGGCTCTCTTCGGGTCCTCCTTCTCCCGCAGGACGTGCCGCATAGAGCCGCGCTCCTTCCATTCTCTTGGCAGCATTCAAATATTCCCTCTACGAATCGAAAACGAGCCCCTCGCCGTTCGCCCCCTTTGATCCGATCGGTAAGCACCGACTCGCGGGAACGACCGGCCAAGTAGGCGTTTCGATTCAATTTCCCGACTTCGCGAATTGCCGCGATACTTGCGAGCCACTTTCCAGGAGTCGAGTGCCTGTCGGTCCGCGAGATGCCTTTGTCCACTCCTCCACTCCCAAGGGACGCTTTAAATTCTTAATCTCCGCTCTCCCTAAATTCTCAGTTAACCGAGAAAGTGTAAACAAAATCGGCAATATACAATGGAACGTTCGAAAAGAGTCGAAACGTTCTTAGCTTCAATTGAAATATTCTTGTTACACCCTTCTGTACATTTTGCCCGGGCGACGCGCGGGTGCAGAAATTGACAACGAACCTGGGAATATATTCAGTACCACCAGAACGCGTTTCGCCAGCGGTGGACCGCGGAGACCCGGGAGATGCGCTCGACGTACCGCGGATGGCTATCTATCGGCCGGGTGAGCTTTAACCTCGGAAGGGGAGCTGTAAAATCGAACGACTGATTTCAGGGCGGGATTGCGGAGATTAGCCGCGTGGCCGGCGGGAATGCCTACTGCGACGAATATCGTTATCGGAGGCTTACCGGGGGGCCGGAAGTAATTCGGCAGGAGGAGAAGAGGAAACGCAACGATTCCGTTTATGCTTCCCCCGTTGCAAGAGATTTGGATTCCCCCCATTGAAATTCTAGGACGCCTCGAAATACCCTGAAAGAACCCCCTCTAAAAATCGTGAATTTTTACAAATTCGAGGAGGCATCGATCGGTGGATTTTTTTATTTTTAAATATTTACTGGAATTCCTTTCAACGTGGGTACGGAAAAGGGTTAAGGTATTAAAAAATGGATGGCGCACCTATCGGGGGAATCGCGATGCGAGGGACCAGGAAAACTCGAGTTAATTTCCAAGTTCGGCGTTATCGGCTAAGGCGCACCGCGGCCAGAGTAGAGAAGGGGTTTCGGATGACTTTCCGAGGTGTTTAATTCGGGTGTCTGACTGTATACCGAAGTTTTAATCGAAACGTTTCGACGCGAGCAGTTCCCCGGGTTGGCCGGGATGTTTCCTCGTAAACGGCGAACCGTATTTCTCGTTAGACCGCCATTAGTCCGGGAAGCGCTCGAGTTAGTCGGATGTCGAGTGCGTGCACGGAGGTTAGGTGGACCGATCGAGGGGGAGAGGGTTTATCAAGGCCTGATAAACTTACCAATGAATCTTCCCCCGCAAAGGCGGGCCACGTCGCCGGTCGCAATTAGTCCCCGTTGACATCCTCGTCCCCGTTTGATCGACTGTGTGGGACGCGTGAAGAAAAATAAATAAAGTCACGCTATTCGCGTTGATCGATTTTCCGCAAACGCGAAGCGCCAGTCGATTCTTCCTAGGGGCACGCCCCGGAACGAGTCGATTTACGACTGGATTTCTCGGGCGGAATGCGCGAGTTCGGCGTTCAAGGGCACCCGCACTTCCCAGGGGCTTTAATTAAACGATAAAAACCGGAATGGCCGGAGGGAAAGGCCGGGAGCGCCGAAAATCCCCCGAAACGGCGGCAGGGAGCGACCCTCGAAAATCCGGCGCGCTCCCAGGGTACGCGGCGCCAAGGGCTCGCCTAAGACGGGCCGCGTCCCCGAGGGTCTCCCCGGACTCCCCCTTTCCTTTGAGGGCACGCAGCGGGAGGGTCCGCGACGAGGTCGGCCTCGCGTCTTCCCCCTCCGTCGGTCGAGAGAGGAGGGAGCGGGGCGCCGGCATCCCGAGATTCCCGTGGCGGCCGCGAGCGGCGCGACGTGCACGGGCTACGCCGCCAACGAGCGCCGCGCGCCCGCCAGTCCGCTGTGCGCCGCCCACCCGCGCGGTTCTTGCGCGCTGAATTCGTCGAGACGCGTGCCGACACGACCCGAGTGCCCGACGCGCAGTAACCGAGTCCTACCGAGTCCAGTCGAGCCGAGCCGAGCCGTGTGCCGCGACCCTCGGAGTGAAGTTCGTGCCGCGTGCCGTACCGGGCCTCTACCGTTCCTCCCATGACGCGCGGAGAGTCGGACGTGGTGGGCCAGATCGCCCGGTAGGGACTGCGGGGAGTGAGCCCGGGATTGCCGCGAGAGTGCGAGGGTCCTCGCGCGGCGCGAGGACCTCACATGACGGGAGTCCCCTCCCGGCGGCCGGTTAGGCCGACTGGCCGCCGGCCACTCCGACCTCTCGGACCCAGCCTGCCAGGCACCCAGGGACCCAGCCGCTGAAGCCGAGCACGACCCGATCGCCCCCGACATGGCGCGGCCCCGAGGGACCGACCGGACCCCCGGCCCTGCGTCATCGAGAGCCCAGGTACGTCTCGGATCCCCGGATCTCTGACTTAACCTCGAAATCGTCAAAACAACGATTAATTCCAATACACCCATAAAACTCCCTTGAACTAACCTTGAACATTCCAAAGCCGATACTCAACTCTCCGTATCTTACTTCGAAACGAAGAAATATAAATTACGCAACGCGAAAATACCCGGCATTCGCTTCCTGGCATAACTCGGCAATTGATTTTCAATTCATACGCAAATTCCCTGGTCACGGGGGAGGGGGCCGACGTCGAGATGCCGCGCCGGAATTTTCTGGAAAAATCAGACGAGGCTCCAGGAGGATAAATTAATATACGTGACTCGCGAAAGTTGGAGTTTGTACAGTAGTTTCGAGGAATTCGTTTAAGGATGCACAGAGTTTTTACGTCGGCGAGGCGAGATCTCCCCCCCCCCTCCCTCCTCCGCGAGAACCGTAAGCGAGAAGTGGTTCTCAGCGGCGCCTTTTCCGCCTGCGGACGACGAGCCGCCGCCGGCTCCTTTACGCGTACATGTCCGCAGTGCGTGACCCGTTTTCCCCGCCCTTGGGGCGCCACGTCGCGTGACGCACTCGCGGCGGCGGTGGACCCGGCGCGGATCCGCCGTCCGAGCCGCGTTTAAATTTAATCGGAGTGCCCAAGATCGTCGGGCGGAGAGTCGCCGGGTTCTCGGGATCCGGCCGCTCGCGTTTTCCGCGCGCCGCGAACCGGTTCCGCCGCGGCCGGGGCACGGAGTCGCGGTGATTTTTGCTCGAATTCGCGGCCGGATTACGCACCTAATGGCGCCGCGGCGGAACGGCCGCCTGGCACGGGCGTGACCCAGAAAAACATTCGCTCGCGTCGATCGAGCGTCGTCGTCGCGGCCGCGATAACGCCGTATCGGCCGCTCCCGAAATCCGACCGGCCACGGGGGCTCGACTCGTTCCGGAGCTTGCCGAGGAAAGGGGGTGCCTGTATTCTTTATATTAAAGAAAAAATCTATTTTCTCTTTTCTACTTTCAAGGCCTGGTCTGCGACGCTTTGGTGGAGGATGGGGAACGTCGTACACGGGCGACGGAAAGGGGCGGATTCCGCGCGCGGAATCGGCCGACCGCGAGTTCCCGTCACTGGATGGGGAGGAGGGTTTACGAGGGAATAGAAATTTCGAATGAATGGAATTTACGACGCCAGGTGGGCCTCGGCCCTGGGTCCTGGCATTCGTCACCGGAGGCGGTAAAGACCGCCGAATGATTTTTGGGACCGACGGGAATATCCTGGAGCGAATGTCCTTCCGGGGGACGAGGGAGAGGGATGGAACCTCGATCGGGGGTCGTTTCGCCGAATTACGCGGAATTTATGCACGCCTCGTGGACCAAGGAGCACGATTTCACGGATTTTTCCGACTTTTCCGATTTATCGGTCGCGTTTTCGCGAAATTTTTACGGGGAGTATTTATTTTCCCGGCGTTCGGTATTTGTATATTTTTCCGCTCATCTTTTTTTTTCCCCCCCTTGCCCTCCGTCGTAATTTTTTAAACGGTCCCGCGTCCTCTCTTTATGGGCCCGGCGATGCCACGCGAGATCGCGCCATTTCGCGTCGTGAAATTCGTCCGAGTTTATTTCTTTCCCCTGTTTTTTCGTTTTTTTTAATTTTTTTACCTTCGGCTCGGATTATCCCCGGGGTCGCGCGACGCGGCTCGATTCTCCCTCTTATTTCGGACGACACGGATTTCCGTTCTTCTTTTTTTTTGTGCTCCCTCCCTCTGTTTTTCTTTTTCCCTTCCTCTTCCTTTTTTCTATCCCCATCTCCGGGTACGCGGGAAAATCTCTTCGTCCGAAATCGAAACGCGGAGGCCGGGCGCGGAAAATTCGGAAGCTGGGCACGAACGTGAGAAAAGAAAACACCAGGGCGAGAGGGTGGGAAAAGCATGAAATAGAGTGAGAAAAAGGGGTGGAGGGGGACAAAAAGGGAAAGCCGATAACGACTCCAACTTTATCGAAAGTTGCATACGGGTCGCACTTTCGCGGTTTAACGCGCTTTTTTTACCTTCCCTCCCCTTCTTCCCCCGTTTTCTTCTTTTTATCCGTATCGTGGTTTAACCTCGTTACCCGAGGAAACCCGTAGACGCGTTTGGACGCCTTTCGAGATGCCTCTTGTCCCGAGGGGTGGAAACCTCCCCCTGGTCGTCCCTCTACTTCAGGTTCTGATAATTACACTGGTTGATTAAAGATAAAGGAAAAAATAAATGGACCTAGATCGGGGGCCCCCGCTCGGAGAAATCCCATAAAAAATCCGCGGTTTCGAGATTCTGTCCGGACTTTCCTCAGGGGTGAGATCCCGCGCTTAACGGGGTGGAGATTGGCCGACGTTAATTCGCGCCACGAATATATAATCGGGGGCGGCGAAGGGTGGGACTCTCATACCTTGGCGACGTTACCATGCGCGATAAGGGGGGTGTCGGAAAGTAACGAGGGGGGCGAAGTTACCCCGCGATATACACGCGCTCGTGCCGCTAATTGGCGGAGTCGTCGACGGGGCGCTCCCGTCTCCGTCTCTCTCGCCCTCCGACGCCCTCTCTCGCGGCGGCGTCGCGCGGGTTCCGCGCCGCGCGACGTCGCCGACGTCTCCGCGCCGTCAAAGAAGGCGGCGTTAACGCCTTAGCGCGGAACCTAATTTGCCACGGAGAATAATTCCGTCTCGTCACGCGGCGTCGCCTACCGAGAGCACCTGTACGCGCGTTTACGCGCGGGCACGCGTTCCCGAGAACTCCGCGGAATTCCGCGACGTCCCGAGGGTCGTTCGGGAGACGTCCGATCGAAGCTTTTCGATTTCATTTTTTTTTCTTTGATTTTTTCCAATGCTCCGAACGGGACGGATGGATGCTGTCGGATCGTCGGGTGAGTCGCGGCCTTGCACTTCCGGGATAATATTTATCGATATCTCCCTATCGGAATCGGCGCGGAATCGAATTCCCCCCGTTGCCCCCCGCTGTCCGGGAATTCGAGACTTCCTTTCTTTCTCCCTTTCTTCTCTATCCGTAAGAAAATCACGAGGTTTCCCTCGCGAGCACGCGATTTCCCGGGTTCTCGGGTAACGGGGACCTCTCCGGGTATCGGGTCACCGTCGAGGACGTCGACGTTGACTCCCGACTTCGACGGAGGTTATTTATTTGTTATTTTAAACATTTCTACCTCGGTATAGATCTTCTTTTTTTTTTTCAAGAGGATATGGGGTTATGATTTATATATTTTTTGTTACTCAAATGTAAACTATGTATACTTTTTTGTTATTCAAGTCCGACGTAGTATTCGAGGCGACAGGTGAGGCCGCTCGGTTGGGAACACCTCGTTAACGGTGGTCGAGGACGAGCCTTGTCTAAGGACATCCCTATCGTCGAACGGGCCGTTAAACGGCGAGTCTAGGTCCGTCTCCGTCGAATCCGCCGCGGCTACCGTACGTCCACGTACGTCGGACCGACGGTACGTCGTTATACGGTGCATGTGCCACGTGTACGTGCTCTCGATTACGCACGGTCGATCGGCCAATTACCGAGCCCCACGGACTCTCCGACCGGCGGTGTGATTCCGCGCAACGAGACCCGATATGTGCGCGAACGAGCGCACATAGACTCGTCCATGCATATATTCATAGTTATATGTACGTACGTACATATGTGGAATCTTCGGATGAGCGGAGGATTACCTCCTCGGCCGATCGTCCGCGGCAAAAATCGCTACGGATGTGCGTACCCCCCTCTCCCCGCCCCACGGGACGGTAATCGCGCAATCTGTATGAAAATTGTACGTTTCCCCCATTTTCCGCGTTTCTTTTCCCTATTTTTTTTTTATCATTACTCTTCGGCGTACCGCGCTCTCCGGCGACGAGCCCCGACCGTCGTTTTCAGGGCTGGCGGCGAATCCGCGACGGAAGATTGGAAAATCGCGGCGGGAAGCGCGGATTTCGCGAAATTTTCGCTCTCGATGACCCAGGCCTGCGATTAAAGGGTTGAAAGTTGGAAATGGAGGAAACGGAGGGCGTCGAGGCGACGCCGATTAACGGCGGTCGTCTTTATTCGCCGGGCCGCAGCGGCGGAAAACCGTTATCGGCACCGCGAGAACTAATATCGCCCCGTGGTCGGCCGTTCCGCGGGGAACATTCCGCGGGTCGCCGCGTACGTGGTTTTTTCTCTTTTTTTTTTTTCTTCCTTTTTCCCTTCGTTCTTGTAACGCGGGAATCCGCGCTTCTTTTCGACGTGAGAACGCGATCGAGCGGAATCCGCGCGACCGCAGGTCGGATTCTCTCCTCGCTTTTTTTCCTCTCGGCCGTCGACGGAAAAGGCGATCGTCTCGTTAAACGCATTCCGCGGTTCGGCAGAAGTCCTCCGGTTTGCTCCCCCTTCTCCGCTTACCGCCGTTTAACCCCCCTCCTTTCTCGGGGAGCGAAAATTTCACTTTTCTATTTTCTACCTGCGGCGGATCCGAAAATTTCTGCACCGAATCCTGGGGCGATTTCCGCCCTGCGCCCGCGTTTCCTCGAGTCCTGGTCCGGGGGGGACGCAGAGGTCCTGTTTCGTCCTGGTTCTAAACCAGTCCCGGGGGTCGTCCCCCTTTTTCTTCTTTTGCCTCGGGTACCGGAGGTGGACAGGCGGATAGGAAGAGGGGAGGTGGACGAGAGCCCCGAAGGGATGCGCAGGTTAAGGACCTCCCGAGGACAGGTTGAGGTTCCCCGAAGAAACCGCCGGGGAAAAATGCACGGAATTACCTGCGAGTCTCGTCTCGACTTTCGTGTCGACGCCTCGAAATTGGTCCGTTCGAAAATATGAAATTCGACGTCGGCATTAATCAGGGCGCGGCTTTATTTACCCGGCTCGTGCTAGTCATTTGGCTAAATGGGAGGCAGCCGCGCTCGCAGCGCGAGCCTCAATTTCCCGGGGAATAAGACGCCCAGAGGCCCGCGCCCGCGACGACGGGCGTCTCGGCGCGGCTCGGCGGAATAATTAGCCAGCTCGGCGAAACTA